TACTGAGCACAGAACATTTGTTGTGAGAGAGGTTTTCTGGACTTTGTGTAGAAGCACATCTTAAATCATGTTGGAGTATATAGCGGTGCTCTGTTAGCATACTGCCTGACTTTACATCTTTTTATAATGAGGATTAATATGAGAAGGCTGTAGGAAGAACACAGAAGTGCCCAGAATGTTTTTGGAAGCAAGCAATTGACCTTTATATTTTGATAACTTATGAAATTGCTTATGCTAAATTTGAAAACAAAATGCCCTGTTTGGGTCATTTCCAAGGTAGTTAGGACAAAGAGTACAAATTGATAATAGAAACATTTTATGACATCAGTCCGTTTTCCTCTGAGCTCAGGTACCGACTGGTAGGCTTTGTCCAGGGATTTCTTACTTGGAGCGTTCTTAGACCATAAAATGAAGTGCACCTAGGATGATGTTGATGTAATCTGTGCTTCATAAACTTTTCTGAGAGGGGACGACATGTTTTTCAGTTTAATCAAATAGCGATCAAAGTCTATCTGTACAGACAATATGGATCTGAGAAGCTCATTCCCTTTACAGTTATTTGTCATTCTGAAGATTGAGACTGTATCAGCATCGCATTATTGTTTGTTAAAGGCTTTGCAAAGCAACATATTTGAATACACAGAGAAGACAGAGCTCTCTGTCTTGCTATTTGCAATTACTGCACAATTATTTGTCTACGAAACGTTCTGTTACGGGCCCCAGTGAGAGTGAATTGGGAACCTGCAGTTTTCCTTAAATGCAGGTGTGTAGGAACAAAGAATTAGTGTAGTTTCTCGTTGCCTTGTGTGTGCTCCAGGAAAATGAGGCCAAGAAAGATGTTTTACAGTTGCGTGTTTGTATGAGGCTTCCTCAAGCCTCCCCAGCTCTCAGCTGTCTTCCTCTGTATCATTTATTTATGTATTTATTTTCTTGTTGGGTGAAAAGCATGGGAAAGAAAAGACATCCTTGGCCAAGGAAGCTCACCTGTCCTCATTCTATAGATGTGTAGGAAGGAGGTTGGTACAACACAAACTGAGGGGACCTTTGCCTGTGTAAGTCTATTGGCTTCTGGCATTTTTTTTCTTTGTTGTCTGCAGCAGTAGGGAGATTCGAATAGATGTGCAGGAAGGAGGTTGGTACAACACAAACCGAGGGGACCTTTTGCCTGTGTAAGTCTATTGGCTTCTGGCATTTTTTTTCTTTGTTGTCTGCAGCAGTAGGGAGATTCGATGATTTGTTTGTTCTGTCTTGATGCTCATTTCTGAGGAAAGCACCAAGAGAGAATTTTTTGTTTTCCAGTAACTATAAGGCTTTTAGTAGTTGGCTGTGGTCAGCAGAAGGTAGCAAGTTGGTTTTGCTGATATTTTTTGAGGATATATGTTATAATCTAAGATTTTTGTCTTGTAGTGGTGTCAGATGTCCTCTTGTGGGTGTGGTTAGAATTATAACTTATTATTAGGGTTGCCTCCACAGCCGAGTGTCTTAGCAGATCCTGCGATTGATGCCAGTGTGCTGCAGCTTGAGGGTTTGCTGCCTGTGCTTGAACTTCGCTGCTCACCCAACCGACTTAACGCTGGGGTAGACCAGGAAGCACTAAACCGATCTGTTCCATCAGCTGTCTTCATCGGAGAGACAATAAACAGAGATAGGTGATGCCTCCTCGAAAATGTGTGGCTTTTTCTTGTCTTATGTTGGATCCAGTTTAGATAGGAAAACAAGAAGTATTTTATTTTTCCTCCTGGCATATTCTGCTGTCGCTAACACAGTGATGGTGCTGGTTTTTTCAACTTGTTCGCTTTTTTTTCTCTCTCTGAAGTATGAGGAAGAAAGTCTAAATGGACACAAAAATGACTGCAGGTGTACATTTGGGTGTGGAATACTGAGAGGAATCTGTTGTAGATCGTTCTCCCATGATTATATTTCTAGATCTTCTGTCTAGATCAGCACTGAAAGTAATACTGTTCTACAGAGCCGTTCTAGAAACTCCAGCAGCGGGGGATCCGTAGAGGAAAGAATAGTCCTCTGCCCTCTCTGTTTGGAATAGATCCTCACAGGTACTCCGAGACACATCAAGGGCCAGAGCTAGTTTTCAGTTTAAATTTATTTATGTTTGGAATGTATTTATTGAAAATAGCTACTTTAAAGCTATAACGAAGATCATCCTAAAGCCAGATTGTGAGATGAGGGAATATAAATTATCAAGCGCTGGTTGACTTTACAGTTTAACTTTGCATAAAAGAAGGTATTTAACTTTGTCAGCGCTGCAGGCTATCTGATGTAGGTAGTCGTATATTTGGGACTTGACTGTTCCTCTCCAAGTGCAGAATCAAAATGCAACTTTTGCACTAATTAAGGAGCAAATGGTTGTATTTGTTTGTGGCTCATATAAACTTTAATGCTTATTTTCTCTTCTGCGCTTGGTTTGTGTATGTTTGTGGATGTGAGGGGAAAAGGCTGGTGTTTGGTTTTTAAATCAGGGCAACTTTAGGTTCTTTCAGAGTAGATCTTGTCTTCACAGTGAACATCTCAAGAGATTTCAAGAGTAAAAAATTCTGCCATAGTAACCCAGTCATCATCCTTTGGCGTTCTCCATTTTGGTGGAGATTCTTTAAGGTTGAGCACTGAGCTTCTGGAATGCTGGAGCGGCGTCAGCTGTCTCGTGGAGAGAGGCTGTATGACAGTCACAGCAGAACAGCTGAACCCTTCTGTTCTTACAGTCTGAAACCTTTGCAGGGATGTGCGGGAGATTGTGCTGCTTTGAATTTGGGTTGGGAAGCTCATTTACAGCATCTGACAGTGCTTGATGAAAAAACCTGGTGTTAAGAGCAGTCTATCAAGCTTTGAAAGAGTTTTGTACTCGCTGAAAATGTAAAGCAAACTCAGAAAGCGTCCCGGCAGCACACCCTAAATATTCATAAACAAAAAAATGATCCGTCTTTCAGATTATCAGGGTTATTTAACTTCCAGTGAAAACTCTTTGCAAAATAAAGCTGATGACAAGCAGGCAGCAAGAAATGTTCTTAACTAGTTTGTATTCAACTACTACAATGCTACTTATTTTCCTTCCATGTTGCAAGGAATCTGAACTAACCAGTTTGCTTTTACTGCTTTGGTCTGCTACTCTCAGCAGTTGTTGGAACTGTGTTCCCCCTTTGTTGGTTTGCTTTGTATTTCTGTTGCAGTGCATGGGAGAAAGACCTTTATTGCCTGGAAGGATATAAACAAAATAATCAATGGTATGGCTTCTTCTGACTACCTGTTGCCAGCGTTTCCAAAGTAAAAGCACTTGCTTGGCCTTGTAGCCTTTTCTATTCGTCCAGTCTCCCAAGTTTCAAATCCTGTTTCTCTGTCTGTAATAACAATATTGTTCTCCAGTTATGACCCATGACTGCAGTAGTGATGTCGTGTGCGTTATTGCTTTGGACTGTTGCTATAAACTAGAACCCTACCAGTGCTCGTACTTTGGAGTTAGCTTTCCTGTTCTCAGGACCGTTTAACTGACAAGTGCTGTGTCGAGGTGTTACCGCACCTTTGTAATTTTAGAGCACGCTATATCTACTGATCTGTTATGAAGTGTTACAAATAAAATGGAATTGATAAAGTAAGGACCAGTATACATTTTGTGATGCTTTATCATTTTCTGCTAACTCTGCAAAACTTTATAACGTGTAGTCGACATCTGGTGTCTAGTTCTTACCCGTAAGTTTTAGTCTAGTGATTTTCTTTTATTAAATTTTTGTTTATTTGAAAAAAGCAAAACTTTAGTGTTCTTTGTTCTGCCAGAGTAGTTTATCAGGTCC